CTTTTTGGTCAGCAGGGTGGACTGGTCGGAAGATTTACTGGTGTTGAACCAGATGCCTTGGGCCTATAAAGTGTTCATCATGAAGTGTCTTCATGTTATGGTTCTGCTGTTGCTGCTTGTAGCTCCTCGGCCTTCTTCTCCCACCAGTTGTTCTTCAGTGGCCGCAGTTTCTTCAGAACTTGCCTCACCTGCAGGTAGTCCTATTTCTTCTTGTTACAGATATTATCGTCAAAGTGATCCTTGTGGGCCTTGTGCAGCTTGTTGATGAGCTTCTGGATGTCTTCTTTATTCTCATCGAACCCATCTTGATGCTTCCTCGCCATGAAGCCGAGGGTATCAGCTGCGGCACTGTAAACAGCCTCTCTGAAGAACCTCTATTTCTCTTCCAAGCCTCCATGCTCCTGTTTGATTTTAGACAGGGATCCGTGAAGATTTCGCTGTAGCAGTTCCTTGTTGGTGGTTAGCCAAGCAATGTTCAGCTTCCGGATGGGCTTGTCTCAGGCCGTCTTCTTTTTCCCAACTAGCTGTATGTTCACCTTGCTCTAGAGGAGGCGATGATTGGACCAGAAGTTTGCTCCTCTCATGCAGTGTTTTATGTAGACATCACGCTGGTCTCTCTGGTGTACTATAGTGTAGTCCAGCATGCGCCACTGCCTTGATCGAGGATGCATCCAGGCGTTCTTGAACTTATCAGCTTGCTGTTGGTGATGGACAGCTCATGCTGAGCACACAGCGATAACAACATCACTTTGTTTGAGTTACACTTTCCAGTCCCATGGTGTCCTATGATGTTCGGCCAGGGAGGTGTAATTGACTCCAACTCGTGCATTAAAATCTCCAAGGATGAAGAGTTTGTCCTTGCTGTTGACTTCCAAGAGTGGTGGCAGGGAAGTCCCTTGTGAGCTTGAGACGCAGGATCGATCATTGATCCCACGGGGCAAGCTATTGAGCTGCCTAGTAAGCTTAGTGTGAGTAGTGAATCCGACACCGGAGCTCCTTGGGGCGTCTTCAGACTTCCCGAAAAAGTATAGCAGGGGTCGATATTAATGGTGGTCCGCTGGCTCGAGGCAAGTAGAAAAGTTGGTGGACCGGCTGATCTAATTAAACTGGTGGTCCGGTGGGCCAGTTGAAATCTGATGTCTTTTCTGTCTTCACAAACATCTTTCAATAACTTTTTCTCACATGAAAATGTGCTTTTTATATATCTTACTACTCACATTTGCAATTTTTGAAAAATAAAAGTTATTTTCATGAGTTTCCATTCACTTTTCGCTGTCGCAGTGATGAAAACACATGCGCAAAGCTCAATGCATTTAATATTAATAATAAAGCTGCTCTGGATCCCGCCGTTGTGATTGCAGTTGTGATTGCCAGAGTAGCACTGTGTGAATTGTCTAGAATTTTCTTGTAAATTGCCGAATGTAGAAATTTTTACATAGTTTAAGACAGGTGTTAATCCTGTTTTGAGATAATTTTGGAAGCCGTCGTCCCCATTGATGTCATTCAATCAGCACAAAAAATCGCCCTCTAAACAAAAAAAACTCCCGACCTCTACTGATCCTATTTTTGAGAGGCAAATTACTACAACTGTTCTGGGGCCTAATAAAAGACTGTGTGTATTGTAGAAGGCCTAAGTGAAATAACCATAATAATCATGGATTCCGAGGAATCTTGGGAAGTGTTGATCCTATTCAGGCAAACAAATTTATGGCATGGCCTACCCGAGCGGGCTAACTAAAAAAGCAATTCATCACGGATTGCTCATGCGGCTGAGTGTGCGGTTCTGGTATGGGACCACCAAACTTTCAGCAGGACCAGTGAAAATTTTGAAGTACTGGTCTTGCTGGCTACCAGGAAAAAGAGGTTAAGTTTGACCCCTGTATAGCCTCCATCAACTTCCTCAAGCTGTTTTTCCCAAGCAAATCTGGTGTCTTTCAGGGCTGCTATGGCAACCTCGTACTGTATGAGTGTCCTGGCAAGGAGCACAGTGCAAAAAGATTAGGCGCTTCCTTAAATTCTTTCTGTTGTTTCAACCGCTTGGCCGGATGCCCAGGCAGGTGCAGTTTCCTGCCAGGTGCATGATGAGGTAGGCTTTCCTTAGGAATCCTTTTATCTCTCCCTCTTGTCGGGAGATAAATGCTGTCTCTGAAAAGGGCTGCTCTGTCTTTGTGGGTGAATATGGCACTGCATCTACCCCTGTATACTATGGACGATCATCATCCCACAGCCACCTGCGTACAGTATCATGGCTAAGAACTCCTAGCAGCATCCTCTGGCTATTCCGATCGCCACTTCTCCATTGCTGCAGGACTTGAACACAGTTTGGTACAAGTGACACCTAGCTTGTTTTTGGCAACCTGTATGCCTGTCCGGCACGTGAGATTTTATGGTGAAAAGGGGTGTGCAGTCCCTTCTCCACCCTCTCGCCTGCCAACACTCGTAGTCGTTTAGGTGCAGAAACTACCATGTGTTAGACGGCCCCGACAGGTGCAGCTTTACTGTTTAGGGTGTCTTTCTCTCAGGAAGATTTCTGGTCAAGGATGTAGAGCTCTTTCCAACCTGCAGTGTCAGCCTTCGCCAGATACATGTGGGTTCCAGCCAGCCGCTGTTCCAGTATTAGAGATGCCTGGTCAGAAGTCCATCCAGTCGCTACTCCATAATGTCAGAGGCGTCCGGGCAGGAATTCACCACTTGCTGCCATGGTTTCACATGCCATGGCCTGCACACGATGTCTGTGGGGTCCCCTGCAACTCTGAGAGCCCTTACTGATTCAGCCTGGGGTTTCAAGATGCCCAGTTACGGATTGTTGCCACGAGGAGAGGTGGTGGAGAGGCTATGTACTGGCAGGGGAGACTTAAGCACATATCTCCATGTTTGCCTGAGCTAGCCAGTGGCAGTAGCAGAAGGTAGTCAGTGGGGACTGTAATACTAGCTGCAGCAACACTACTCCGCTAGATGCATCTCACGCACCCTGTGGATGACAACATCCCCCAACACACTATTGGAAAGTAACAGCCACTGTAAAAGCTGTCATCATCCTTACCCAAGAAATTTGATATTATCAAAACGTGGTTTTCCATGAAATAGAATGTAAGTATAGTGCGAAGCTATGGCACAAATTTGTAATGCAAGGCTTACGCATGGTTCAAAGTTATGGCACATTTCAGGAAATCGGCTGCAGGTTACAGTCTTCACATATATTGTAGTTAAAACCAATGTAATGAAGTGGCAGATTAATGAATGGATTTATAATACTTCACTGATCCTTTTGGAACATTTATTTTGGTGCACACCATTATGAGAAACTGATTATGTATCATTTTTATGATTATACCCATTGGACTGTATAAGCTACCCGTGCAATAGAAATAATTTGTGGATATAGATAATTATTTTACGTGTTTGATAAATTGCAGGTCTTATATATGCATAATTAATTATTGTAATTGCACATGTAAATACATGTATAATATGCTTTATCTTCTATACATTATTCTGTGTCTGTATGTCATTCTGTTTGTTGTAAACTCCACAAGATGTGTTCCATGTAGCCTTTTTTTCTCTCACCTTTTTTGTCTTTCTCTGCTTTACATGTACCTATCTCCTCTACACATCTTTTTCTCTTTCCACCATCCTCTATATTTCTCATTTCCTTCATTTTTCTTTATCATTTTGTAGACCTGTACTGGAAGTCATGGGAAAATGAATAATCTCAATTATTATAATTGTTATATTGTATTTTTATTAAGTTTTTAAATGTAATTTTTCTTTTTTGTAGACTTTCGCAATTCGGCTCTTGGCCGTTAAGAATTTGTCTTAATAAACGTTATTGAATGAATTCTTGACTATGGGAAGGTGGAAGCCAGGGAAGCTCTCTACAAAATGTTAACCATGATTGCATGACTGTGGTTCCTTGTCGACTTGGAGAAATCGTATCTAATCCCCACACAGACACTCACACTTTGGGGAGCTCTATTCATCCTCAAAACCAGTACAGCTTTTCCGACCTAAGCTTGGTTGCTTAACTTCCAATAGTGCATCCAACTGTTGCTATGGAGATGTGGCCCCAGCATTGGCACTGGGACTGGGACTCATGGCAGGCCACACTGCCAACTCCATATGTATCCACTCCAGCTCCACCTCCTCACACAGTATCATCTGAACCTTTACTCCATGTAACGCATGGGTCCGGTTGATTCTTTCCTCCAACCACACCTCTAGTAGTGGATGAATCCACACCACATACCCTGCGAACAGATTTTTTTCCAGACCAGGACAAACATAGGTAATGTCCATGGATGCATTTCATCTTGGTCGGGGTGGCCACACCTGATTCGCACTATCACAGAAACTTACATACATGTATATCATTGCTGTAGAGATACAGGTAGTCTTAATGCTCCCCACCATTTCAGTGGGCTCATCCAAGCCACCAAGTTCTCATCAATTTTGACAATACTACAGTGATTGCATACATAACCACAAGGGAGGCACAAGGTCTGCCTAGCTCTTCCTCTTGGTATAGAGCATGCTCCATTGATACCAGGAATTTGGCATAACTCTGACAGCTATGCACTACGAACATCCAACAAAAGAAACACAGTGCACTAACAATGAGCACCCATTGTTATTGTACCGTACTTCTTTCTTTAGATGCTCAGAGTGTATGCATGTCCCAGGTACAGATAACACTGAACATGTATGCATGTTTATTTTCTTGTACTGTTTGTATATGCTGGGGCCTATGGGAGACCAGTGGATTCCACAGAATGGGCCATGCAGTTAAAGTTAGGAATGAATAAATACATAGCACCAACTACACTCCATACATTCGCTGTACAAATGTATGCAAATTTTGAACAGTGATTGTCAGGTCGCAAATATCGAGCTATCTTTATTGTCAACATTTGACTTTTGATTTGGCTTCATTTCTGATGGAGATGTTTGACTAAGTTTGGTTTGTATTTAATTTTTTTTTATTTTGACATTTCAATACTTAGATTATTCGTAGACACGAGGCCAACAAAGCACGCTATGAAAATCAGCAGTATTCTTTCCAGGATCAGCTTGACAGAGAGCAGAAAGAAAATGCTGATCTTAAAGAAAGAGGGTGAGTTTTTAATGCACATTTTAAGTGTTAGCTTTACATTTTGTTAATATTTCCAACGTAGAGTAATAAATATTTATGTTCGTAATCTCAGACTTTTGTGCAATACAGCTAAAAAGAAAATATAAAATTGTTAAAGTGGTACTTGAAAGGGTTTGATATTTGACATGTAGGGTTCAGGAGATAAACTAGACTCCACAAAGCCAAAATGCAAAAGATTTATCAACTACAAATGAGGACAAGAAAAATATTAACCACTTCCTGCCGGAACTCCAGAATCGGAGACGTATGGTTTATAGGCTTGGCCGGGGTCTCCGAACTCGGACAAAGGAAACAGGGCCCTGTAACAAAAGACCGTACTCCGCACAAAAGACCAGGCTGCTGGGCATTACCGACATTTTTCGCTCTCAAAAGTGGTGATAATCCAGCCTTGTTTTGAAACCGTATACCAGGGTTTGGGGCATTGAGAGCAAGCGGATTACCACCGGGGACAAAAGCTCTCCACCACCACTGCGATGAGCCACACAGCACCGCTGCATGCTAAACTGGCCCCTATTGAAAAGAGGTCAGCAGTACACTGAGCCAGGTTCGTGAACAAAAGAAAGTTATATAACACCGCACAATTTGGGCTCTTTTTACAAGGCTGCAGGCCTGGTTGAAAAACTCGGGCGTCAATGAAGGTCACCTGGCAACTTAGAGTAGTGCCTAAAGATTACTTCGTGTGGCTATAAACGACCGTTAAATGAAATGATGAATTTTTGAATGATAGTCATGCCGGCCCAGCATCATCAATATTGAAAAATGCCCCGGCATGAAGTGGTTAAAGATGCATTTTCTTTCCACAGGGAGTTGGGCCAAATTCTGAAACATGCGGTTCAAATCTTTTGTTTATGTTAAGCTGTTGATGTCATTCTTAGGCGCGCTGCAGGATGCATGCACATAGCTTTGCCTGTTTCAGCAGTAGAGCTCCATACCACAAAATGTTTTGATGAGTTTATAAAGAATGTACTTCGTAGTAAAGTTGTGCGTGGTCTCAAATTTTGTGGTTATTTTGTCTCTGAAACTAGTTAGTAACACCTGGATAAAGTGTCCGCATTAATTAAAATATTAATTAATAATAATTAAATATTCAAAATTCAAAAATAAATGATGTGATGACGTCATCATGACAAATTTCTTTTAGGACAATCCTTGCATGATTGTCTAAAGGTCTGCTAAGTTTGAAGTCGATCAGATATTAATAGTAAACTGTCAAAGTCAACTGGTGCAAGAAAATGTTTGGAAAAAAAACTTTAAGGAAAACAAAAGCTGTTTTGCCAAAACAGCAAAAAAAAAGAACAAAAAGAATGCCTTTTTCGCAACTTGTAAAAAACCCAAAAACTAAACAAAAAGAATGCCTTTTTTTTCAAAATTGTGAAAAAGCCAACTAGAGGTTTAACTGTCTTTAGGACAGAGGAAAGGCCTATCTGCATTTTTCTTTTTTCATAAGAAAATGGCTTTCCTTCATTTGAGATACTACCACATTTGGATTTCTCACTTCTTACTCAAACATCTATCCCAAAGCTACAAATAATTCCCAAAGTTTCTAGTAAGAATTTTGATGACCTCATTAGGACAAAATATTGGAACCCTTTCAGACATAAGGAGATATAACAAAATTTTTCACCCTTTACATCATGTCACCTTGTCTATAACGCTTCCCATTCTTGCCATCTACCAAATTTCAACCCAATCAGGCATGTAGTTCACGAGACATAGGTCTTTAAAGAATGTACCTTTAATGTCACTTGATTTGCCACTTGATGACATTATCATATCAGGTCAATGTTAGTCTGAAGCACTCCCTTTTCATGATATCTGTAAGATTTGAAGACAATGAGATCTTGTACTTCACGAGATATACTGCTATGACGAGTGTGCCTTTAACC